TCTGCTATGCAAAAGCTACTTCGGAGGGTTGAGTAATATTGCTCTGTTTTGAAAATCATTGCGGATAGTTTCTACGAGAAGAACTGTTCTAAGTTTTTTTCATATGACTGTCTATGCAGCCGTTGAAATATATTTATGGATAGAGAAAAATAACCGGCTAGGAAATCTTCTATTATGAAAACTTTAGTCGCCAGTATCAGGTTTAACAGAATTCCTAAAGTTTTTTATTTACGAAATTCAGAGTGTCACATGAAGAATAAAAGCAAAATCAAACATAAATAGTGCATAACACAAGAAAAATTACCATCATATAATTAACACAATTCAGGCTTGCATCAGCATGAGTAGTAGTAGTAGTAGCAACAGTAGTTGTGACTCCACAAGCGCCGACAGGAGCTGCAGTAAATGGACCATAATAATCAGGATCGCCACAACAACATATACAACAAGTCTGACAATCAGCAATACTATTAAAACCAAGACGAAGACGATTATAATCATTGCAAGTACTGACACCGCTACTCCTACAACCACCATTATAATGATAAGTACCACAAGACGCAGGATAATCAACAGTGTAGTTACCAGCAGGACCAGTAGGAGTGGCACCTCCACGAACACTAAGACAATAACAAGCAGTTGATAATGGAGTTATGAGGAGGAAAAGTGAGATAACACCAAAGTAGAGGACTCGGACATTGGTAAGCATTTTTGTTTATACTTATTGATAGATTTTATACTGCCGTAGATAGTAGATAGTTTGACGTTTATTTATAATATTCTGAAGGCTGCTGTGTTAAGCTTGTTATTTCTTTGACTTGTATTTATCACACACACACTTGATACAAAATGCACGACTATATATAGGTTGGTAAAAGGAGAAAATCCATATATGAATACGAAAGGAAAATCCCTAACATGAACATCTCTTAGAATAACATAAAAGATAAGATAACAGAGAGAGGACTAATCCCTCATATATGAAAGAGGAAAATACCTCTCGATAGAAAGAATGACAAGAGGGAAAAATACCTATATATAAGAAGAAGAACAGAAAGGAAAATACCTATCGCTAGAGAGAATGACAAGAGAAGATAATATATATATAAGAAGAAGAATATGAAAAGAAGATTTTATATTTGGTAAAATTCTATTTCAGTATTTTTATTTTTTTGTATTTGAGAATTATTCAAAAACTGAAAAGGAAAGAAATTTTTTACGAAAATTTGATAATAAAGATCGAATTTAAAAAGAATTTTACTGAACTAAACAAATATTAAAAAGATTTTCATATAGATGAAAACAAAAAACGAATGTCGAACGAAAAATGCACTAAGAAATCCATATACAATAAGATAGTAATAAATCCTTTGAAATGATACAAAATTCAAATTTGATTTTTAATTTCAAAGAGTTTTGACGAACATTTTTTTTTCTTCTTTGATTTCTCTTAATAAAACTTTAAAAAAGATTTGTTATATTTCCCATAGAAATTCGAATAAATATTTAATTCGATTCCTTCAAATGAAGAAATGCAACATTTTCTTTGTTTTGATCTTTGAATAAGAATCTTTCTTCAAATATTTTTTCTTGTTTTGAAATTGAATTTTCTTCTTTACCATCAAAAAACCCAAATGATTGATTAATTTCAAATGAATAAACTTTTTTTTGTGAAAAGATTTTCATTCTGTACATATTTTCTCATTGAAATTTGATGAGAATAAAAACCATTAAAAGATGTTTCTATTACTTAATCTACATTGACAATTTAAAATAGAATTTCATAAGAAAAACGTCTCATTAGAATAATTAAGGAAATGATTGACGAAATAATTTGAAGTTTTTTTAGATTAGCTTGTCAACAGTATGTTCCACTGTGGGAAAATATCTTTTGTTTGAAAATATAAAAATACTTTTTACATAAACTATTGTAGAGATCGGCTGTGGGTGTATGTGCTGGTTTTGAGCTGTTCCACACCCACAACTTAATAAGAATCGATTTTTGTCATGGAGATAGACCTTACAAAAAATGGAAGTTGAATAGATTTTTAATTCTCCATTCAAAAATATCTCGCAGAAAAAGACTCATAATTCAAAAGTTTTTGACTACGTTACTGTTACGAATTGAAGTAAATAGAAGATGGAAAAGCAGTTCATGCGTAAAGTCATTTACAAGAATAGAGAAGCGTTCGAATGGATAAAAAACTTAAATCACTTCCTTCTCTCTATAGTAAAGTTATTGAAAACAACACTCACCTTTATTTAATACTGCATTATCATATGACACAGCATTACTGTTTATTGTCAAGATAAAATATCACTTATCTCTAGTTACTGCGTAGTGAGAATAGCAGAACAAACTCGGTGTAGTTTTTTAGTTAACGTTTTTTTAAAGTAAAGTATGCATGATAACTCGTTTTTAAGCGAAGGTGCTGTAAAACAAATGAAAAGCTATCAATGGTGGCATCATCGTCGAGCTAAAATCATCTGTGTCTCGTTTATTCTTCTCATAATATTTGCAGTTGGTCTGTTGCTTCTATTAAAATTTGTTATTCTTGCACCGATAAAGACTGAAACCACCACTACTATCGTCACAACAACATCAACAATAACCACAACGTCGAATGAACAGTTAGGTGAGTTTGATAGTAACGCTCATCAACTCTAGAATACCTACTTTTCGATCAGTTAACGCTGTGAGAAAAGATTTATTTTCTCTTAACAAATCCCTGTATGCCAATATTAGTTTCGATTCACTCATTTTTATATGTTATAGACTACTTGATTGATTACTTGGAAGAGGGTGACATATTTACAGGTTATTTATCCTAAAGATTAGAGAGTACGAACTAGAACTCTAGATAGATTATGTGGACTTACACACCAGAATCATCTACAGATGGACGTCACACATGCAATCCACACCCTAAACGTATTAGAGGATTTTAAACAAAATGAATGCACCCAAATGTTTTCGTTTAGTATGGTGTAACACTGGTGATCTGATTGAACCACGATATCGACATACAGCATCCGTCTTAGCAGATGGAAAAGTATTAGTAGCTGGTGGATACGATGGTATGCGTTATCTAAAAAGTGCTGAGCTATATGATTCATCGACAGGCATTTGGACAATTACTGGCATGATGAATACTCAACGACAAGTCTACACAGCATCTGTATTAATAAACGGCAAAGTATTAGCTGCAGGTGGAAACAATGCTTATGGTTATCTACATACAGCTGAGTTATATGATCCATTGACAGGTATTTGGACACTTACTGATAACATGCAAAATGCACGAGATGCACATACAGCAACTGTATTAGCAAATGGGAAAGTACTGATTACTGGTGGATATAGTAATGTTTATCTAGATAGTGCTGAATTATATGATCCATCAACAGAAACATGGACAAACACTAGTAATATGAATAGTGGACGAGGGTATCACACAGCATCCATACTAAGAGATGGAAGAGTTTTAGTCGCTGGTGGAAGTA